GTGTGTGTGTGTGTGTGTGTGTGTGTGTGTGTGTGTGTGTGTGTGTGCTTGTGTCTAATGGTAGCCATCTCTAGGGCAGGGAGAAAGGGGAAGAGAAGAAAACAAAAGAAAAAAAGAAATGTATGTAACAACTTTATTATATATTTTAAAAGGAATAGCAAGTTGTATGTGATAGATTTGCAGTTTCATGTTCGATCATTTTTTTATTACATATACTATGTTATGGAAATACTTGTTTTATTCCACAAATTAAAAATAAATAAAAAGTTTAAAAAAAGGAAGGAAGGGAGGCAGAGAGAGAGAGAGAATAAGAAAGCAAGAGACAGAAAGAAGTAACAAGGAAGTGAAATTATACAAGATGGAAGAGATCAGGCAATAGCAATGAAATGAAGAAGAGTCAACCATGTAAAGAACCGCAGTAGGGTCCTTATCTCCGACTCTACTTGATGTTTTTAAATAGTGGAGACAGAGACACATTAAATTCCTATGTTCTTATAGGAAGCTCTGTGCATCCTTAGTTTCTACTATTCAACTGTCCAAATCACATCTAAATCTTTACATGTCAATGAATGTTAAGTCATTGAAGAGACTTTTCTTAGCAACACTAGCCCAAACTATTTCAGAACTCAACTAAGAACTGCTATACAATAAATCAATACAAAGTCTAATGTAATTTTTTAAAAGTGCTTTAATGAACTATTACTTTAAGGATAATTAAGTGAGGAAGCTATAAAAAGCATTTTATCGTTTTATTATCAATATTTAAAACTCCTAAATTTCCAGTTGTAGATATTATCCCTATTTCAATTCCAAGTTGGTTACATTGGGGGCATTTATTTTCCCTTGACCAATTATTTTTCATGCTTGTTATATCATGAAAAGACTTCAAATAAATATATATATATAAATATATATATATAATAAATGCACTTTTGAAACTCTACTCTCTAGAATCTTGTCAAGTATCTAATTAGCCAAAGAGCTTCATCTTGTGAATTAAAAGTTAGTTTCCAGATGTCAGATGGATCATTTTGGGCATCTACAACATACGATGGGGAACTGGATAACTGTTGTCCAGAAAAAACAATTCTTGAATCAGATGCAATTTTATGCTTTTTGAAAAAGACAAGCTTCACTTCTAACAAGTTTTTCTGGTCTGCAACAACACATCTGAATTCATTTAAATCACGTAACTTAAACACATCAAACTGTGAACATCGAGGAGATATTCTTGGAGAAACTGTAAGGGGATAAAAAACACAATCTTCTCTCACAAGTCCAATATGTGTATTAAGAAGAACTAATGACTTACAACATGTTTGGCCAGAGTCACTCTCTACTTTGACTGTAGTATATAATAGTAATTGAACCTCTGCCAGGGAGGGAATATTGCTTTCCATGTTTCCATGAAGGAAGTAAATAATGTCAACTAGGGCATTTTGGAATTTAGATGTCACTCTCACTCCACTTGTCAAAACCAAATCAGTAACCTCTGTTCTCCAATCGAGTGAAAGCTGAACTAAATCTTCCCTGAGCAAAGGATGATTAAAACAAAAGACACTGTCTGACACAGACATTAAGGGACTTAGTAGGTCACAGCATATCTGTTGAGTGAAGTCTTTGTTGTAACTAAACAGAGTGAGCAAGTGGTCTTCTGTAGAGCCCAGAAGTCTTACACATTGTCCTCCAAAACCAACTTGTATCTCTCTAAGCACAGTAAGGGGAAGGATCTGAAAAATATCAAGAGAGTCTGGGCAATAATTTGATAGAAGGAAAGCATATAAGGCTGAACTACACAGAATCAAACAGGCTGGTTGTGGGTCAGGCTCTCGGCAATTAGCAACAGCAAGCCAATAAACACCTTTTAATTCATCTACTTTGCCCAGAAGTTCAGGGAGGCAGCAGGTCATACACTCTAGGAGATCTTCTAAAGACAATTCCTGAAGTCTCAGTAGTTCAGCTGGAAACTGCACAAGAGTTTGCCTGAATGCAAAATGATTTCTGCCACTGTCACATAGTCGCTGACAAACAGAGCTTTGAGAAGAACTTTGTAAATTTGAAGTTAATGAAATGGCTGGGGCCGTATAGTGCATGGGGCTCTGTGTTGGCAAACATTTTTCTAGCTGGTCCTTGTCACTCATGACAACTTGAGCTTCGTTTAAAGGAGGTGGATCTGACCACTTCAGGTATGACTTCCAGGGCATCTCCAGAGGCAAGTTTCTAAGAACTGGCAAATTTCTAATTAATGTTGTTACTTGGGAGGTCATACTACTAGGGTCATATAAGCTACTCAAATGTCTTGCTTGCTTGACCATCTTTGTGCTATTTTGGAGAAGATGATTCCTCGTATCTTTATAAATGCTAGAAAACTTGCTATAAAAATATTCCAAGCCATAGAGGGTATCTGTCCTGACATTTGTAGGTGGAAGGGTGAACTTCAGGGGGCTTTGTTTTGTAATGTGTGGCTCCTTTTCAAGATGCTGTTCATGGATAGGAAGTGGGTCTGTGAACTCTTGGGAGTCTGCCTGGGATAGACTCTTTTCATTGGAATTCGATTCAGAAAGGAATAAGCAAAGCATGTTGCTCTGTCTGGTCTGCTCATCACTACTCTCTATAGATGCTGTACTGGATTTATGCTGAAGGAAGGTCCAATTGCTTTCAATCCTTGAGCTGAAGGCATCTTCACCAGTCATTGCCACGTATCTTGAATAACTGAGATTCTCTATCTTACCTTGCAAACATTCTGTACTTCCCTTGTTTGTTTGAAGAAAGTCAAGAGGACAATTTTCATGATAAAAATCTTGATCAAAAATACCAGTAGATTCATGGCAATTTAGCTTACAGTTAATTTCACGTGAAAACTCTTGCTCTGAACACTGGTTTCTTTCTTGGCAGGTTCTCCCTTTTGACACAAGTGAGGAATTTGTAGAACTTGATACATTCCATGTTACTGAATGACTTTGTTCTTTCTTCAAGTATACTTGACTTACTTCTTCTCTAATGATAATGGAAGAATTTGTATCACCTCTAGGTCTAAGTGGAGCTAGATATTGCATTGGCCGAGATTGTCTTTTCTGTTCAAAACATCAAAAAGTCAAAATAGGGATGCTGTTTTTATTCTCTAGAATTCTTTGCACATAATAATTTTTATATTCACTTTCATTGGTTTCATTTTGTGAATTCATTCTGAAATAAAGCTATAAATCTAAATTCATTGGTATTGATTGATATATGATTCAAGAATGGGTGATCTGATTGAGGAACAGATGATATGATTTTTGAACAGAAGATCATTTTCTGGATTTTGCATATTATATATCTGACATGATTATAATTTACACAATTAATCTACAGCATCCATTTCTCACTATAAAGTTGGATTTTTTGTATAAAGAATAATATTGAGTGACTTGAATAAATTTCATATTCAAACAGCATACAAATAAGCATGAATTTAGGTACCCAAGAGGTAAAAGATATAATGGTGGGTCTATTAAGAATTAAGCTGTAAGCCTGAGAGAAATCCATCGGTAGTTTAATTCTGGACCATTTTTCTATGTATGATCTTGTTTTATGTTTGGGAATATGTGTTTTAGGGGCATCCACACATGTTTTCTGAAGGCAGAAATGAATCATCAATAACAAATATCTGTTTACTTCTTAGAATGTGTAATGCACTGTGGCTAGGTATTGTAGCCTAGAGAAATGGAAGACATACTTTTTTCCCCAAGAATTTCATCAGTCTATATTGATTAGGAAGAAGAGGGTCTGACAACAGCTAAGGCAGATTAAACCAATTCTATTTTGAGAGGTTAACTAGAATTTTTACAGCCTACTAATTTATGGAAACTCTTTACAATGCTTCCATAATCTATTCTTTTTTTTTTTTTTTTGGCAATTACGGTTAAGTAAGTTGCCCAGGGTCACACAGCTAGTAAGTGTCAAGTGTTTGGTTTGAGGCTGGATTTGAATTCAGGTCCTCCTGACTTCAGGGCCGGTGCTCTATCCACTGCCCCACCTAGCTGCCCCCTCCATAATCTACTATTAAGGGGGGTGTGTGTGTGTGTGTGTGTGTGTGTGTGTGTGTGTGTGTGTGTGTACACACAAAAGACCAGAAATGTAAGGGAAGATATCTATAGAAAATATAAAGAGTAACAAATAAAACCTAAGTCTCACATCCATATCAACTTTGGCTTGATAAGACTAGAGATATAGTAATCAGTCACTCAAAAGTATTCCTTTGTAACAGCAGCAGTAATATGAAGGTTTATGGTCTTTGAAATATATGAGTCTTTTTTCAAATCTTGAGCAGTTCTCTATTACATTTCCAAACCTCATGTCTGATTCTGATCATGTTTGAATTTAAAAAAAGGGTGAGGAAAGGGATTCTGTTTTAAATGAAGAATTGTTTTTTTTTTTTTAAGGTCTCCATTACCACTATACACCATTGAGAAAAAGTCAAAGCTATATGCAACCTACAGGATTCTATTTAATTTTAAGTTAATATAATAGCTTGCCTTGTCGATTAGACATTAATCTCACTGTCACTTCAAATTTCTAATTATGCAACTAAACATTAAGAAAATTTAATCACATGAGCATGTCATAATTTAAGATTACCCTATCAATCTGAAAATCATTACCTACCTCATACTTTAGCTTACGCTGAGCAGTGCCATTGTGAAGTTTTTCATTATCCTAGAAATGAAAGAAAAATTAAGTTATCTGCTTTTCAAGGGGGCAAAACTGGTTTGATTAGAAATATTTATGAGATCTAACAGAGAGCTAAAGAAACGTGCTTGTCTATCAAGAATGCAAGCCCTCTAGAATAGTTAGATCCATTCACAACTCCACCATTCTAGAAGGTTTGTACTATAAAACTGTGCATGCCCTTAGCTCCAGCAATATCACTGCTAGGTCTGTATCCCAAAGAGATCATGAAAAAAGGGAAAAGAATCTATTTTTACAAAAATATACGCAGCAGCTCTTTTTGTAGTAGCTAAGAACTGGAAATTGAGGGGATGCCCATCAATCCATTGGGGAATGACTGAACAAGTTGCTGTATATGAATGTAATGGAATATTACTTGCTACAAGAAATGACAAGCAGGATGATTTAAAAAAAAAAACCTGGAAAGACTTACATGAACTGACACAGAGTGAAGTGAGCAGTACACAGTAAGTACAATATTGTACAACGAACAACTGCAAATGACTTAGCTATTCTCAGCAATACAATGATCCAAGATAAGCCCAAAGGACTCATGATGAAAAATGCTATCCATCTCCAGAAAAAGAACTGATGGCATTCAAATAAATATTGAAGCATATTATTTTTCAATTTCTTTCTTTCTTGTTTTTGTTTTGTTCAAGTTTTCTTCCACAAAATGACTAATATGGAAATATTTTACATGATTACACGTATATAACCTATATCAGATGGCTACTGTCTCAAGAAACGGGGAGGGGAAAGAAGGGACAGAATTTGGAAATCAAAACTTAAAAAGAAAAGTTTAAAAGTGTATTTACATGTAATTGGATGAAAATAAAATATTAAAAATAAAAAACAAAATGGGAAATTTTCCAAATCATTAATGAGAAGAAATGAGAATTAAAATAAAAAGAATACAAACCTTCTATAGAATTTTTACTCATGAGTAAGCTCTGTAGCTCTCCATTACTCAACTTGCCTATAAGAGATTTAAGCTATTCATTCATCTTCTAAAAAGTCCCAGTATAATACTAAGAACAACATTTCCTGAGGACACACCTCACTATGCATTAACATGTATACAATATACTTTATTGATAGAATTGGACTATCAGTAACATCCATCAACTGCAAAGGAAAACATAATATTTCTTGTGTTAATGTACAAAATGGACTGGAAACCACAGTTCTACCCATTTGTGGAAGGGGAATGAAAGTGGGAGGTATGGTAACCCAAATATTATAATTATGATTTTAAGGAAATAAATCAACACACAAACGTAAGCTAGCTTCACTTCACAAACCTCCCAGAAATAAACCTGAGGATAAATAAGTGTTGGTCACAACCTGCTTATGTTGATCTTGCCAAAATTTACTGAACTAACATTAAACTTAGTCGTGACATTTTTTAACATTTATCACAACTGAGAGGAAAACAACAACAAAAAGAAGAGGGTCCCTGGCCAGAGACCAATCTTTCTTTTATGAAAGATTCTTTCGAAAGCCACTGTTTGCTGCCTCATTAAGCTTACCTTTCGCATTTCTATAGACCGGGAGACACAGATGCTACTATCTCTAATCCTGGGACGGACGTTCTGCAGACGCCGCTGCACCTCTTCTTCAATGTAAGCATTAAGCCTGAAAATAAATTAGGCCTCAAATTCAAGCTTGGAATGTTTTCAACTGCTATTACATATTAAGATTATTTCATTTTTATGTGCCCTGCCCCTCTTACCTCACAAAACTTTATTTTTTATAAAGACACAAAAGCAAAACTCTCAAACCTAACTTCACCTAAAACAGTCACCAGCTCACCATTATGAAAGTCATCCCTTTGGCCAAGGAGACTAAAATAGTGAGTATAGAGTAGAAAGTTCTACTCACAACTAAGGAGAATATCTTTGACCTCATGTAAAATTTACGATCTTTCTTGTATAATTTAGTACTTAATGCTATATCTTATTATTCATCTCTGTTTTACACCTACAAGTCTTGTTTCCCCAAAGGGACTGCATTATTCTTAAGCACAGGAACCTTCTTTTGTGTGTGTATCTTCTAGAGGCCTAATACTTGGTACGTATTCAAGAAACGGATAGTTAATGATTATATGTCAAGTTTGTTGTCAGTCTCCATTCCTGCCTGCTCTGCCACTCCTTGGCTGTCAATCATGCCACCTCACTGAGTCTGTTTCCTCTTGTCAAAAAAGAATGAGTTGAACTAGACTAAATGATCTCTAAGTCCCTTCAATCTCTGACAATCAGAGACAAAGTAGTGTCCTATACACCGAAACGGGAAATAACCTGAGGTAATAACCAAAGGAACTATTATTCTTTCCCATTGGCAGATATGACAGTGTAGCCCGAGCTTGGAAGATCATTCTGACACAACTCCAGGTCATGCACACTCCAGAGAGTCCTAGGAATTTAGCTATTTCTGAAGTTACCCAAAGCAAAATGGGCTTGGCTGCTTGGTTTGGTTTCAGAATCACCCAATTTGTGAGTGCTAATTAGGCACCCTAATGGATTTTTAAAAAAGTAATTGGTAGACCATGATCCTTTATATTATATTCTTAATGCATTCTTTAAAAAAAATTCCTTGTTTCATTTTTCTAAGACTATCAGCAAGTGTATGAAGCGTAAAATTCTTATGTATGCCCAAAATATTTTCAAAAAAGACTTAGCAGAGGAAACAATGTATTGTATGTTAAATTAACAAATACAATTCTATTAACTACATGCAACTAATATTGAAACAAGTCTATTCACAAATATGCTAACTGTGCTGATTTTTATTCAAGTTAGAAACTATTAACTATTAACAACAACCTATTGAACAAAATATAAAGGGATAAAAAAGCTCATGCCACTCTTACTAAGTTTTTATATATAAATATACATTTTTTTAATACTTAAGATTTAGAACTGACTAGTTTGAAATTCTGTGTCTGGCATCAGTGTGGGGTTAGGGAAAAGTAACCATTTGCGTATAGAAACAAAATGATTAAACTGAATCCCCTAAATCACACATCAATTCACAAAGCCACCCAGCTTGAAAATCATCTTACTATAGTAACATAGGCATAGTATAAATTTATTACAATGATGATTTTATTAAAAATCCTGGCATTATTTTCCTAACAATCTGTGTTATTTTCATAACATATCTGTTATGCCTCTCTAAACATATTAATTTCTACATATTGGGATATAAAGAGAGGGTGATAGCTATCAATTTAGAGATAGATATCTATACTAAATTAACTACCCAAACTATTTTTTACCATAGGACACTAGTTTCTACTTATTCTGCTTGCCCCAAACTCGATGATCTCCTCTCCCTTTCTCTCCCCTAATATCTCTTGCCTTCTCTAGTCAGTTGCACTGTTCCACAGGTGATAACCCCTCTCAAAAATGATCCTCTTGCTTTCATTTCCTCAGGTTTATATATTACATTCATTGCCCCAAAGTTTTCCCTTAACGTGTTGACTCTGCTGATGACTTTTAAAGATATTTCAACATATAATATGTTAGACAGAAAGAAGGATGAATAAAATAAATGTATTACAAATGATATGAGGCCTAACAGAGGCCTCCACAAGGATTTGCTTAATATGAAGAATGAGGAAACGTTAACTTATGTGAAAAAATGGGATCCAAGATCTGCCTCACATACAGTACCTATCATCGGCCAGTGGAAGCAGATGAGACTGAGAGTTGGCTGCATTGGCTGGGGAGTTGGAGTGAGACGGATTCTCCACCAGGGTTCCCTGGTGCCCTTTGTGAACACCACCAACTTCACATAGCTTTTGCTTCAGCTGCTGAATTTCCCACTCTAACCTGTATAGAAGTGAACCAAACTTAATCAAGACCTCCACAACCATCCACAAGCACAATGCAGCTTCACATGTCCAGTACTCACAAACTCAATTATCATCATACTAAAATCACTAGGATCAAGCTTACATACAAAGCTGTCACTTTGAAACATACCAGTTACATTTACAAGAGAGTAACCATAAACTCAAATCTGGAATTGCACAGAACTTATTCTATATAATTTTGAATTTACTTATCTGAATACATGTCGTATATGCCCCCCACCCCAGGGGAAAAGACAGTGTCATTTTTGTCTTCTATTCTCTACTAGCACATAGTAGGTGCTCAATACTGATTAATTCAACTGAATTAATCCTCCTTATTATCATTTTTGAAAGTCACACTCGATAACGACCATTGTGGTTGATTATCTAGAGACATGATACATATAACTACAAGCTGAAGACACTGGAAAAATATAAACAGGAGACAAACTCTATCTTAAAATTTATCCCATGATGCTTTTGAAGGTTCTAAGCTTCTTCACATCCCCAGACCACATTTCTGCCCCCATTTCCACAAAAAAAAAAAATCTAGAACAGATTTACCAAAGGGAATTGCCATAAAGTAATCACATTATTTCCTGTTTTACCCAGGAAAAGATAAGTATCAAAAAGAAAGTCATGGATAGGCAGAGCAGAGATCATTTGTGATGTCAGAGAAGGAAACGTTATGCTAATGAACTTAGTGAGGTGGTTAGTTTTTGAGCTCTGCAATGCCTGACTCTGAGACCTTCTTAGCATTGCCTAAACCAGGGGTGGGGAACCTGCGGCCACATGTGGCCCTCTAGATCCCCATGTGTGGCCCTTTGACCGAATCTAAACTTCACACAACAAATCCCCTTAATAAAAGGATTTGTTTTGTGAAACTTGGACTCAATCAACTCAGTCAAGTGGCCTTGAGGCCCCATGTGGCCTTCTAGGTCCTCTGGTGTGGCCTGTGGACTGAGTCCAAGTTTCACAGAACAAATCTTATTATTAAGGGGATTTGTTCTGTGAAGTTTGGATTCAGTCAAAGGGCCACACTTGAGGATCTAGAACCCCACCCCCGACCTAAACCCTCAGCAGGAATTGACCCTGGGGAAGGAGGAAAGGAAAGGAAATAGTTACCTCGTATTTCAAATACTATGCTTGATGCTATACTTGAGTATCACAGCACAGCACAGAACATATGAATGAGATAGTTCCAGCAACTGCTGGTTGAACCTTGGGGCAAAATTAATCAGAGGACTGTAAAGTCTTAAATCCACTCATTTGAAAGTTTGAGGAAAAACAGCTAAAAATGATTTTTTCTTCTAGAATAAATCTTAAGACCACATAGAACATTTTGAGGGTATTTTAGGGCAGTTCAATAGCAATGATAAATACCACTATAACTCTAAATAATAACTCTTTGATCAATACAAACTTCAAATACATATATTTTCAGTGAACTTCAAACATTACTTACTGTCAAAACTCTATTGTCACTGACAGATTATAATTAAGTCTCTGCAGTTCTATTAATGATTCTGCTCCATACACAGGCACTATCTTTCAACTCTTCCACTAATTCTAAAAAAACTGTCAAAGTTAAGTAATCAGATATGAAAGGATTTATTTTGGCCATAATTTGCCATTAGATGAATTCAGGTAATGCTAACTTTATGGCTTATACTAATGTAAAGTAAATTTCTTAAAACAATAAATTCTATTTTCCCTGACTGCCATTAAAACATGCAGCTAGGTCTCCTGAAAATAATTTTCCCAATAAGTTTCCAGAATTAGTAGTTTTGGGGTTTTGTCATTTTCTCTGCAGGTCACTGAAATCTCTCGTTTCCATCAGAAAAACACTGTAACAGAGTAGTGTAAAATAAGAATTTCTGGTTCATGTTAAGTATAGTTTTATTCTGACTACATAGAGTTGTAGGGTTCCATGTTATATGTGGCATAACAATGCTACCTTGCCTAATTTTGCCACCTTGCCTAATTTTCTGTTTTCCTTCTGCAATGAAAGCAAATTCCTGAAACCGGAATCTCTTTCACTAGCAGCCTCCTCCCACATCTAAGCCACAGGAATTTTGCTGGAGCCTGGGGAAATTCTGATACTACTTTTATAGTTCCCAGAACTTGGACTCTCTCATTCTTTTGACTAGGAATTTGCAATTTCAAATAGACCTAGCCTACAACATTACATCAAGGCGTGCCATTGTCCAGCATATGCTATATTACAGCCTGCCTTACAACTAGGAGGACAACCTTCCCCTGAATAACAATCCTCAATGGTCACTTAGCCTTTGCTTAGAGAACCATTTTTATGTAACCAATTATTAATAAGTTTTTCTATATTTTCAGCTCTAACCTGCCTCTTTGTGACTTCCCTGTGTTGCTCCTATTTCCACTATTTGGGGTCAAATAGGACACATCTGATCTCTATTCCATATGACAGTCCTTCAAATATTTGAAAATGCCTATCATATCTCACTTTCTTCTCCTCAAAGTTTCTCTTCTTTAATCTGAGATTTCAAGCTATGTAAACAAAGTAAATCCTCTATTTTATCAAATCTGTCATTTAAAACTATTACCTGAATTGATGCAATATGTTAATAATAGAAAGACTAGAACATGATGTTGGGAGATTTAAGTTCTAGTCTTTATTCTGCTGTTTAGCTGTGTGAGTTTAACATAGTCCCCTTACTCCTTGAGCCTCAGTTTCCTCATCTGTAAAGAGGTAGCTAGATTTAATTACCCTTTAATAGCTCTAAAATTCTATAAGGCGATGAGTCTGAAAGACAGCTACATTAGTACATTTTATGTTTTAATTTATGTGTATGTGTGGGTGTGTGACAGCTTCCTATTTTTGTAAGCTCCACGATAGCAGATAGTGCTTTATCTGAACTTTGTAGTTTAGGTATCACCTAATATTTACTAGTGTTTAGCATATAGTAGGTGTTCAATAAATGTTTGCTGAAGTGAATTTTATGCTTTCCAAAATAAAACAACATATATTGAGATGACACATATTCATTTTGCAAACCTTTACATGCAAAGTGCTATAAAAAAGAACTATATTATTATTGCAAGATTTACAATTAAGAAACTAATTAAAAATTAAAATATAATCTGGTACTTTGTCAGATGGTAAGTGATAACTGATTTTATAATAGGTCTCACTTAAATCCATTAATGCTTCAATTCAATATATAGTAATAAAGTCTCTACTACGTGGTCAACATTCTACCTGACATTGTGCAGAATGCCAAAAGAAGCATAAGGTTAGTCTCAAGCCTCATGGAGTTTATGTTTTCATCAGAATGAGAAGAGATTTTCACTCATACCTATTAACACAAGATGTTATATTGCTGCATCAAAATGACTGATAGAGATTAAGACATACAATAAGAATTCAGAGAATGACAAAATCAACATAGGTTGGAAAAGTCAGAGAACCTCATAAAGGAGGGTACTGTTGAAAGGTAGGATTTGGATATGCAGAGAGCTGGTCATTGTGGCAAACAGAGAATAGCATGAAGAAAGGAATAAAGGCAGGAATGAACATGCGAAATGCCCTTGGTTTCACACTATGTGAAGAGACTGGATGAAGGGATTGGTAAAATGTGAGGTGGGTGTGGAAGGGAGACAAATAAGAGCAGTCACCAAATATGTGAGGGGATTTTATGCAAAAGAAGAAGAACCAAACTTGTTCTTGGCTCCAGGGGCCCAGCTAGGAATAAGAGTTAGAAGTTTCAAAGAGGCAAATTTAGGGTCGGCTAAGGAACAAATGTCTAACAATGAGAGCAGTCTAAAACCAAACTGGGCTTCTTTAGGTGATCAGGAGTTCTCTCGCACTGAACATCTTCAAACAAAAGCTGGATGACCACTTGTCAGCCAGGCTATATAGGGGAGTTGGGTTTTTGTTTGTTTGTTTGTTTTTTTTTTTTTTTTTTTTTTTGCTGCTGTTGTTGTTGTTTTGCTTGCTTAGTTTAGGAAGGTGCATACACTCTTACTTACTAGATAGGCAAGAAGAAGAACCTGAAGGCAAGGAAAAAATTATTTTAACTGTGTTTACCTTCTTTGTGGTATCATCATTATAAGGCAGTAATCTTGCTTTTACAAAAGAAAACATAATACATTTAAATAGCCTTGACTTTATCTGATTTCTAAGCTGATATAACACCATCTAGTCAATTATCAATGGATGGCTTAACTTGTTTTATCCTGGTATGTTCAGAAAAAAAGAAATAATATATTTTCCCTCCAAGGCTACTATCAGATTTACAACAATGGCCCAATTTGGGAGGCAATTTCAGAGATAGAGAGAAGAAAATTTCTTTAACATTGAGGAATTCTGACCTAACAGTTGTACTCCTGCAGCAGAAAAGTGAAGATATTCTCCAAAATAAAAGCTTAATATCCAACAGCTATCTGTAAAACACTGATTTTAACTTGTGTCTCCAACACCATTCTTTGTCTTCAACAAGAGGCCCTTGAGAGCCAAAGATAGAGACCTGAGTTTTTAGACTAATTCTGTTATTAATTATCTGTATCATTTGGGAGGCTCAATTAACCTTTCTGCTCCTGTTTTCTTCTTTATAAAAATAGCAAGTTGAATCAGGTGATATCTATGATTCAGAGTTCTTTCTACTAAGTCACTATAATGTTCTATTTACAATTGAGAATTAGGGATAATAACCTGAAATAAATCATGATCAAAGATTCAGAAAGCTTTAAATTGAAGTCTGAATCCATGGAGTCTATATGTCAGATATGCTCTACCCATGCTTCACTTTACTCTCTACTTCTTGGTCATTTTTCTGGAAATCTCACCAATTATGAAGACAAGCCTCTATACCATGGAGTTTGTAACCCTTTCATGTCTGTAACTTTAGTCATGGAGCCTTACTATGCTGATTGGCAATCCTTACCTACTTTATTTCAGACTATTATTCTAGAATGGGCTACTGTCATGAGACTCAGAAAGGAATGTTATTTTGAAAAGCAGTGACCACTAAGGCCTCATGAAGAACAACAGGTCATAACATACCAGCCTCATTATCTTTTTTGACAGGGTTACAAGATAGGTAGATTGGGAAATGAAATAGCTAAAATAAAGTTAAGACTGTAATGCATTTGACAAAGTTTTTCATAAAATCCTTGGAGAAAATATGGATAGATGTCTTAGACTAGATATGTACAGTTTAATGAATTCAGAACTGTTTGAATGACAGACCAAGGAGTAGTCATTAACTGGTCAATGTGAACCTAGAGCAAGGTCTCTAAAGGAGTAGCACAGAAATAGGAATATGCCTTTGGTACTGTGTGGTTCAATATTTTAATCAGTGTCTTAACTGAAGGACCTGAATGGTCTTATCAGATTTTCACAGGGTAGAATATCTCCCACATTCTAGACCAGCC